GGGGGGGGGGGGGGGGGGGGACTTCGAAGGAGTAATACCATGGAAGGCTTTAGATGAAGGGATATGTACAACAAGAGGGTCTACAAGGGTTGCCAGGAGGGGGTTGAGAGGGGTTTTAGGGGCAGCAGCTCGGCTAATAAGAACCTCTTATGCTGCCTATGTAACCAGTCAGTAATATACCCCCAATCCGTTTCAGGAAGTTATCACATAGTGTTCATTTGCAAACCAAACCTGAGGTTTAGAGGCCAAGGAGTGTCGGTGCGCTGGTTTCAGGGTTCAAGTTTGAACTCTTGCGACGCTTGCGGGCATGGGAGTTCAGGTCGTAGTGTTGAGGAGTTCAGGGTTTTTGAGTTACGGTTTAGGGGCATGAGGCTTGGGAGTTAACTACGATCCTTGGGCTTGGAGGTTACTACTCTCAGCTGGTTTCAAGCATGCATTGTGATATGACTTGAACGTGTTGAGCTTTTCAGGGCATAAGTAAGGTTTCAGGGCTTACCTTCGCAGTTCAATAAACTGCCACAATAGAAGCTTGGAGTCCGAGACTTGTGTTTCAATCCAGGCCACCTTGTTTACTGACTGCCACGACGCCACGACGTGAGATCTTGCCGCTATGACGACCACCACCACTACTACAATCGGCACCCCTCGCGTCACCTAAACCCAAATGGAAGTGTTAAGGGTCTTTGCAATCAGGATAAGAATCCTATTATTTCCTGAAGCGCCCTCGTAGGGTTTCGGTACCACAGGTAGCCTCAAGCCCGAAAGTCGAAACCTTAGACCCCTCAACCCATACACCGTACACCCCAAAACCGCTAAGCCTCTAAACCCCCACACCCCCAAAGGTTACCTCCTGGAGCACGTGGGCCTCTACTCGATGACCCTCGGGGTCGGCGCTGCCTCCTTGGCCACCGCCACGGCGGTGTTCGCCCTGCTTCCGGCTCCTTGGCCTCATTTGGGATGATTTGGGACTTTCCGAAAATTAGGGGGTACCTTATTTTGGGGTCCTTATAATAAGCATCCTACTATTTTGGGGTACTAGATTAGGGTCCTATTTCGGAGAACCCGGAATCATAAACTCCGTACGCCATTGGGTTCTCTCATACATCCCCTTGATTGGCAGGGCCAGCCTGAATCAAAGCTAAGCCCAAAGGGAAGAGAGCCCTAAGGCCCAAGACCGAAAACTCCGAACCCTAAATCCTTCAAAACCCGAAAGCGAAACCCCAAAGCCTCAAGGGCCGCAAACCCTAACCCTTCAGCCCCCAAAGCCGGAACATAACACCGGTCATCTGGACTCTGCTTCCCAGGAGACTCATCGGGGTTACCGAGACAAGAGGCCTCTCAGAGGTGCTCGGACTTTCATTTTCAAGTTGGGTTTGTCTGTGCAGGTTCGGGTTAAGGTTTCGGATCGGATTCCTAGCAGGTCCAGGTACCTAGCCCGGTGAGCACTACTGGCCACTGCACTGCTGCGCTGAAGGGTCTTATAGGGACCGCAAGAGATCCAGAACTGGATTTGTCAGCTCCAGGCTCACCCAGGAAGTTTTGTTAAATGAAAAAATCCCCGGGATGCTAGAAGAATGCCGAGATTAAGCAGTCGATGATGGACCTCCCAATCCCAAGCCCCCCCGCCTTGATCGCAGCTCGCCAACTCGAACATCACCCTAGAGAAGACCAAAGCCCAGCAGTCTAAACCACAGAAAGCACCCAAAATAATCACTCAGAACGGGCCCTTTTTCGACCTTAGAAGAACCGCAGAGGCGTCGGAGACACCCTGCGGTCCTGGTCCCCGATACTTCGTGGCCAGCAGTTCCGGTCGATCCTGTCCTTTGGCTGGTGCTACAACGCCGCCTTCTGGGGCGTCACTGGGCTTTTAAAGTTAGGTTTCAATCGTGTCAGGATTCCAAGCTTCAGGGTTTCAGAGGGCTTTCAGGTTTTCGAGTCACTTGTCTTAGCAGCTGGGTGCGTTTAACCTCCCCGCATGACAACTCTAGTCTAGGCTTCTGGGCCGGGAACTCAGCAATACAGGATGTTGGGGTGTGGACGCAGTGTCCACGATTGCAAACCCTTGGCCCTAAACCCTAAAAAAGAATCGGCGAGAAGGCCGGAGCCTAAAAAGCTTCTTTCGGAGTTCTGGCTATCTGGGTTCAGGGGGTAGGGGTGTGAGAACTTTGGATGCAGGGCTCAGGGATGTAAGGCATTTCGGCTTGGGAAAGAGCTACATGAATGAGCAAGATTATATGGGACCGAAGTCTTCGACTGGCAGCTTTGCAATGGCAAAGCTTCCCCAAAAGTGCTCACGACATGTGATCTGACCCCCATTCTAAACCCTTAAACCTGAAACCTTTCAACCCAACAGAAGAACTCCTTCAAGGCCATGGCCCTCCTCCCTCTGGTCTACGTGGATCTTTCCTTGAGCCCCTCTGTGGTGGGCGGCCTCTCCACCTTCAACGCCATCGCTTCCCGGCCTGGTCACGTAGATCTAGAAGCCGAAAATACGGATGTAGTAATACGTATGTGTATGTATATATATATATATATGTACATGTATACCTATACATATATATATGTGTGTGTGTATGTATACATACATATATATATATACACACGGTTAAATACATTCAATATACTAGAATATTATATTATATGTGTATATACATACATATATACATACATATATACATACATAAATACATACATACATACATACATACATACATATACATACAGACATACACCTACACGTACACCTATACATACACATACGTATACACATACATATACATATACACACACATAATATGGATTTATGTATATATCTCATATTGTGTGTGTGCATACACATGTACAGATATATGTTGATATACATAGATAGATGGATATATATATATAGATAGATAGACGGATGGATGGATAGACAGATATATACCCGTAGATAGTTATATCTTGTACATATGATATACATATATATATATATAAATACATACATACATACTCTAGATGTTTCAGATTTGTTGGCAGGATTTGCAGTACTCAAGAGAGGGAGGGAGAGGAGAGGGGAAGGATAGGGAGAGGGAGGGGGAGAGGGGGAAGGAGAGGAAGAGCGATCGCCGCCGAGACAATGGACGGCATGTATCATGGACATATTTCATAACATAACAACATATAGCATAATACAGTCCAGTATAGTACTATAGTACAGTCTGGTATAGTATACTATAACATAATAGAATACAACATAGTATATTCTATAATATAGTAATGCACATTTTAATAAAGTAAAAGATACCATCATGTAATAACCTATAATCAAATGTAACCCCATATAATCTAATATTATCAAATATAATCTAATAGCAGAAGATATAAGATATGATAAGATAAGATAACTTAACATAGTACAGTATAGTATGTATAGTATATTATAATATATTATACGATACTATACTGTGATATAATATAAGACAATGCAATATACTACAATAAGTTCAAAAAAAAATTAACACAACATATACACATATACCCATCTTGCATGTATGTATATATATATATATACTTATTTATTTATTTATTTATTCATGGTATGGTGTTTCAGCTGTGTGCGTGTGTACACCACCTCTTGGGATGAAGAGTTTTCCTCGGTGTTCAGGTGCTTCCGACGTATCGCGATTATACAGGTTTTACGTTTCTGATTTGTGCGGCTCTGCATCGGCATAGAAGGGTCTGCTTACCCACGAAGCTCCGCAGCTCAAGATTTCGGGTATATATGTGTCGGAGACGACCGTGTGTCAGTCGAAGGCCTTGAAAGCTGAAGCTGCGCTAACTTCGAGCTCTTATGAACTTGAGGCCATAGACAACCGGCAAGCCTAGGATGATGAGCGCAGCCCCTTGTAGCCCTTGTCGATATTGAAACCCAATATTAGCAATATGAACCCGAAACCCTGAACCCTTGAAGCCAGACGTCGAATCGAAATCCTCCTGAACCCTAATACCCATAAAACACGCGAAAACACTGTAAGTATGGGGCCCCCAATCCGTTCCACCCTCCCGAAACCTAATAGTCTCTGCGGCTCAGATCAGCCTGGCTGTGACGCCGGTGGTTGCGCGAAGTGTGGCTTGGACTCGTTTGGACGAGCTTTTGCTTTTGAATGCTTTCCGAAGTAAGGGCCTTCTTGCACTCCCCTGATGTTTTCGATATGCATGGTACAGAGACTACTTGAAGGGACCATTATAGGGATCCATTCCCCCCAAACCTTACCAAGAACCGGAAAAGAAAGCCCTTTTTGGTCCCAGCCTAACTCGCAAAGCAAGAACAGGGGGTTGGTTAGTTTAGCACTTAGGCCTTTCCGTTTAGGGTTTAGGCTGGCACTACGCACCCACACCAAACCAAAGAAGTGGCATCTTTCAAGGCCGTTCGCAGAGACACCGACCCGGCTGTACTACTCGATGTCATTGGTTGGTGCGATTTGGGAAACATACGTTACGAAAGGACTGGTACATCCTAAATGTCGTTGGCGACACAAGCCTACACACCCCACACGCTGGAGCTTAAACTTAAGCCTTTGCGTTTGCAAAGCCTTTTGAAGCTGCAAAGCCACCCAAATACTAAACCCCGCTTCGGACGCCGAAAGCACGAAGCCCTTAACCCCAATCCGAGACACGCAGAATCACTCCCCAGGCCCAAAAAGCCCCAAAACCGAAAATCCTCGGACCTCGTCCATGGAAAATCTCACGAAATAGTTGAACTCAAACCCTGTACAAGTACCCCGAACCTTGGACCCAAACTCGGCCGTGTTTAATGAAGTTTTGGCCGCCTCCGAGGCAGATCACCTTGGCAAGATGGCTGTGGTCTTACCGGGAGCCATCGTGCTACTTTCTTGCAAGATGAGGTCGGAGCTTCCGTAATGGAAGGCTTGAGATCTGTTCCCTCCGGCTCAAGGGCTTGCTGATGTTGAGGACTGCATTGGTAGTCAGGCAGTAGTAGAATCCCCACACACACACACTCTGTCTCTCTCTCTCTCTCTGTTTCTCTCTCTCTCTCTCTCTCTGTATGTATATATATATATATATATCTCTCTCTCTCTCTCTATCTTTACTCTAAGATGCACCCTATAAAAAAATAGTCAAATCACTTAAGCACCTGTTTTAGGGTGGGTTGATTTCATGGAGTGTCAGGCTCAGGCTTGGTTACACTTAGCTACATCAAATCCAGCGCTTTTTTCACGTATCGATAGCCCGACGGATAAGAGGGTTTTCCACGACCATTTGTTCAAAGCGTGAATGGCGGTGTACTCAAAGGAGCTCCCAATGTGTAGCCTTCCAGGCACTTCAAAGTGCTAGGTAGTTAGCAGAACCCTTGCCCATTTTGGGTGACAATACCAATACCACCAGTCAACCCATTAGGCGATTATTCCGATACTCCCCCCCTACATCTCAGCAACTATATCATGGTATTATCACCCAAAATGGGCAAGGGTTCTGGTAACTTCGGTTCCTTTCAGGGATCTAGCAGACATGAACAAGCATTTCAAGCATTTTAATCAACGGCTGGCACCATGGCTTGGATGCAATGGTTCGAGCTCCCGCGAGTTTTCAACAACTAAGGCTTGGGGCTTTAGAGTAGGTTTCGGGCCGAGGCTTCCTACTTTGCGCTCCCAAAAGCCGTAAGCGAGGTACGGCGCCGGATTGATTCTCGTCCCACACGTCTCCTCCTTGCTGGAGTTGAAACCCGGCCGAACTTTCCGGTTTGAGGTTTCGGTACTTCACGCCCAGGAGCATGGGGGGGTTATGGCTCTGGCTCCGGGGCTTTCGGGCTGAAAGTTGCGGGCTTAAGGGTTTAAGGTTGCGGCTTCAGGGTCTACAGACCTTGAAAGCTCCATCTCCCGGTGACTGAGACGCATTGGGCGCCATCACCACCGCCTCCGCCATCAACAGCAATGTCGAATAGCAGGAAGAATCGTAGTCATCACAAGTTCTAAGAAGAGGAAGAGGAAGAAGCATCCCCTCTCACCAAAAAGCACACGACACTTATTCAGCACAGACTGCTCAATTCAATCCCATGCAAGAACTTGACCACGTCCTGCAGAAAAAACTGTCCAAGAGGAGCGAAAAGAGTGCAGGGCCTCGATGCCTTCGGAAAACCTGGAACTGCCTGGAAGCCTAAGATCCTAATTTGTTCTCCCTCTGAAAAGCTTGAGGCTGCCCGTGCTTGCAGCGATGCAAGTGGGCGCCTGCATGTGTGCGCAGGTGGGGGTTCGGGGGCAAACGGCCCTGGGGACATCGAATGAAGGAGCTCAAATAATAAACAACTTTACTACAACCGCAAGCCATGATAGATTTGATTGCAGCTTTGGGATTTGCGAAGGTGCCTGAAATTGCACCTCACAGTCTTAAATAGCCCGCGGATGCAGGTTTCGAAGGATTGCATATGAGCTTCGATTCGGGCAGACCCAGAGCACATAAAGTCGAGCGCACAGTTGGCATCCTTCTTTCCTGAGAAGGCGATGCAGGTTGTATCCCCTTCATTCAACTCTGCAGTTGGAACCCGCTTGCAGCCCAGACCCAAGCCTTAAAGCTCTAAGTCTAAAAAATTGTTTCGCGCAAAAGAACCGAGACCTCAGCCCAAATCTGCAAAATGCGCTCGGAAGTCAATAAAAACCCATCGAGGCCCCCAGAACTGCTGTTACAGCTTGTAGCCTCCCTGGGAAGCTTAACTCCGATCCTGAAGCTCTGGTTGTCGAGACCTTAACCGCAGGCACAGATGCATGCGATGGACTTGGCGCCAGCCCCTTGCTCTGAAGTTCTATTCCTTTCAGGAGGATTAGACCAGAAAGGTTAGACCAGAAAGGTTTAGAAGTGGCATTGGTGCTGGAGACTTCGGGTCCAGCTCTGTGGATGTCCTGTTGCTGCAGACTTTTTTCAACCCCATGGCCATTGCCCCACTTTAGGTAGACTCAACATCAACGTTTTGGTATTCAGGGCCACCTGGTATGTGCCCCTGCCCAAGCAGGGCTCCTTGGACTCGGCAAAACCCCCTGCCCCGAGGTTAAAGACCGCGCGAAGGTGCCAAGTCTGTGGAATACCTTTGGCGACACAGGACGATTTGTTTCTTTCGGTTCCGAGTTCATCTATACCAAGAGCCTGACCTTTCTCCAACGAACGACCTTCGCAGCTGGCTAAGCCTGGATTGGCTAGTGTCATCAAGCCCTTTTTGTTTTTATATGCCATACGTTAATGGATATCATGTGTGTGAGTGTGTGTATATATATATATACCTATAATGTATGTACCTTTGCATATTTGTTGATGAGTTTTACTTATTCATTATATCGGGGTTCCTCATGAGGCAGCTTTCGTTTTCGGGTGCAAAGGCTGTTCGGCTCAGAAACCACGAGTTCAGCTCATGCGCAGGCGATGATAAAAGCAGAAGCCTAAGCCCTTAACCTGAAACCCAAATTTAAACTCAGAGAGAGAGAGAGAGAGAGAGAGAGAAATATATGTATATATATATATGTCTATATATATATATGTATATATATATATATACATATATATATATACATGTATGTATGTATATATATATATACACATATACATGTATGTCTATATATA